ATATATATATATATTACATAGTTGATTGTTCTTTGCAAATGAATTAAGTAACTTTGAAAGTCTTTTTATCAAAAGATTGTACGTGTATAATATCTACATTTATTTACTGATTACTCTACATTTCTTTTGAATTATATAATTATTATTTGCAAAGAGCATCTTTCTTGTATGTGAAACGATTAATACTGCAATGTTGTTAATAGTACAGTACATATTTCAGTAAATATTTCAATTCATCAAGCACAAATCCAATATTTCTCTTTAATAATAATAAACACTTTTAATGTTTTAAACATAATATGTTTTCAATATCGTATTATACTTGAAATATTTATGTTGTTTGAATTTTTTTCTATTTACAATTGTAAACAGCATTTATCCACATCGTGTGCCCTATTATTCACTGTGAATGGATTATTGTATTGCCCATTGTATTTTCTACATACGTACTTTCAATATTCTTGGTAATGTAACGCCAAGAGTCGAACGAATTTACTCGGAGATCGAGGAAGTTGAAGGAACTTTTGAATAACTTTCTTTTGAATCGTAGATCGTAGAATTTTTTCGAAAAAAATGTTCCCACATTACAAGTCCCGATGAACGTAGATAAATTAATGCCCTCGAAATTGAAAGTTTCAGACAGAACTTGTAAAATGGAACTTATTGAAGTACGAAAGTCGAAATTTCTCTGTCGAAGGAGCACCATTGAGAAAGTTCTCAATTCTTTATTTGTAGCAAATGACTGACATTCACTATAACTATAATATAAAAATGGATTTTTTTTTACTAAATATTCCAAGGTAACTCGCGCCCATGGAACTTTTGTTACAACGTTTCTATTATACGAAATATACATAAATTCGAGCAGAAAAAGAATCTGTCCTTAATTTCGATCTCTCATTTGTTTTCGATTGATGGTATTGTAGGGCGATTACTGACCGGTGTTTTTCTGTTTTCGAACAGGAGGTTTGCACCAGAACACATTTTCCCCGCAACTGTCTCTGGTGACGGGTAACGCGCCAACGTTGACGATCAACAGCTTCTCGTCACCGAATTCGACAGGGAACGTGGTACCAACGACAGGGGTGTTGCTGCAGGAGTATCAGTCGCCGACAGGTTCGACTACCGGATGCTCGGTCAGCGTGAACGGCACCTCGTGCCCTACGAGCTCGACGACGAGCACGATGGTGGTGCAGGGTGGCCA